TTTGCGTGCCTTAATTTTTTATTTATTTTTTTGTTTTAAAAAGTGTGTGCCCCACAAAATGTTGTGAAGGTAAGAAAGTTTGTTGTGTTATGTTAAAGGATAAAATGAAAACCCTTATTTATTTTCTGATAAAACAGACAGCAGTGACAATTTATGATTTCTTTTATTCCCAAATAACATTAGTTCTCCGGTCTCCACTGGCCCACTACATAGGGCAATATACTAAAGGGTACGGAAGATATGAAAGGGCGTTGGCATTTACTCGCTTATAGTTCACACGATCAGATTTTAAAGCTGTTTTTGTCAAAGATCGCAAGAATATTGGAAAGTTGGGCAGCCATTCACAATGTTAAATGTTCATGACAGCTGGATGCAACGGCCCTGAATTGATGATATTTGTCGTGTATTGGCGTAGTGGTGGTATCTAGCTAGCAGCCACCTTGCTTTCCTCTGGGTAATTAGGTTCGGAATGAATCTTTTTATATACTATTTAACATCATCATGTAATACGAGAAGATTATAATTATTCATAATCACTCGTGATATGGTCATGTCAAATTAGGTTAGCTTCCTTGCTTGGAGGACTATTTGAACCGAGAACCGAACTCAGTTAGTGTTTAATAAAATCGGAAATGCAAGCGTTGAGTGTTGAACCTCGTACCTTTTGTATAGCGGCAAACACCAAAACAGCGCGCCTTTTTAGTTATAATGCACCCTTAATATATTAATTATATACTTTTATATATGGGTTTTAATTTTCTTAGGAGAAAATTTTCTTACATTCTATATATATATATATATATATTTTTTTTTGTGTGAAGTCTTTATCTATTAAAAAATAAAAAAATATTGCATGAAAATCGAAAGGACATTGGTAGGAGATTTTTTAATATGATCAAGGATCATTATGGTCTTTTCACTAAAAAATTAATACCTGGACTAATTTTTTTTTTTTTCTCTCTCCTCTTTTCTCGACCTTTTCTCACCTCAGTTCGACCAAAATTTTCCCAGAGCACACGAACTTCTCTCCATTGGTAGGAGAAAATAATTCTCTTACAACATGAGAAAGTTTATATATATATATATATATATATATATAGAGGCAGGATCCTTTGACACCGGTGTCAGAGGAAAAGTTTGACACCTCATCTGAGAGCCGTTAGATTAAAAAAAATCAATGGTGTCACATGCTTACAAATCAGAAACGTTGATTTTTTTTTATCTAACGGCTCTCAGATGAGGTGTCAAATTTTTTTTTTGACACCGGTGTCAAAGGATCCTGTCTCATATATATATATATATATATATATATATATATATATATATATATATATATGCAGAAAAGTGCTTGTCATTTTAAATGACAAAAGTTGCGTCATTTTTAACGAAACTACATTATTTAGGTGTGTTTTTGCATTTTCTCTCATTCACTTTTTTTTTCTTAATTTTTTAAAAAAAATGTAAAAAAAATACCAAAAATTGTATACTTAAAATGACAAATATTTAACCTAAATATATGCATATATTAAATTTTTTAAATTTTAAATTAAAAAAATTAAATTTGTCTCTATTTTAAATATTTTTATCACTTTACTCATCTTCTTTAACCATATACCAATTTGTTCCTACTAAACTTTGATTAAACCCTAATTTTTGATAAATCATTTACTTATATAAATGTCGGTCAAACTTTAATCAACTAAAGACATATTGATATATATTTTTAGAAAAGAGACAAATTGGTAAGTGACAAAATGCTAACAATAATTAAAAAAGAAAATCATAAATCAACCTTTTTTTTTGGACATTAATCATCAATCAACCTTGATTTTAGTGCTGCAATAAATAATACAATCATTTAAAATAAAAAAAATAGATTACATTTGTGTAGGATTTGTCAAACATAACTAATTTCAAATAAGGTTTTAATGTTTTTATGGTAAATATAAATAAATTATTTATATTTAGTTTTAAAATGATATCATTTTAAATTGAAAGATTAAAAAATTATAATGAGAAAAATTATTATAATTCTGAAATAAATTATAATTATAAAAATATCTTGATTTTTGTCTTAAAACGACGTTATTTTAAGTTCAATATGAATAATTTATTTACATTAATTGCAGAAAAAATGAACCCTTTAAATAAACACCTAAACTTTCGAGAAAAAAATCGCAAGTAATTATTTTTTTTCCAAATATTTAATTATCTTAATAATGTTTGACAAATTATTGCTATGCTCTGTCTTTTATGTGCGGAATAAGACACGAAATTGAAGTTTAAAGATTATAATTGATGCTATAAAAAAATTGCTTTTTTTCTTTCAACATAATTGTATCATATAAAAATTTCAATTATTTATTAATAAATCAATGATTAAAATTTTAATAACAACACTCATAAAATGGAAAAGGAAAAATGATGATTTTAATTAATTTTAAGGAGAAGGTTATACTTACTATAATTTTAGTTGTACTACTACTACTTTTACTACCTATTTGGTTATTGTTGGATCAATTTAAAATTATTGACAAATATTTTTTTTTTTAACTGTTAATTTCAAATTAATCCAACGATAATCAAACAAATAATAAAAATAATAGAATTAAAATTATAGTAAGTATAATCGTCCCTAACTTTAATAGCATTTTACAAGTAGAGTTGGCTTGCAACACTACACATGAAACGATAGAATTTTTATTTATTTTTTTGGGGAGAAAAATCTCTCTATTTACATCTATAAATATTGTGCCAGGTCACTTGTAAAAGTTCTCATCTTGTACTTCTAAATTTATGTACAACCAATTAAATTGAAGTTTCCTTATAGAAAAATAAGCAAATTTGGATAATTATTTATATTAGGGGTTAATTGCATTAGTAATTGAATTGAGTTTAAATTTAGTGAATTACAAATAACACTTGATTGAAAATGAAACCCATAAAATTTAAATGATGCAATGTAAGCCCGTTTATCATTAGGAATACACGGCAAGAAGACGCATATTAAAACATACCACTGGCATTGATGTTTTTTTTTTTTTTTTGATAACATTGGCATTGATGTTTTGGGTGCTAAAGGACCGAGCTAGGCTTATCTTTGATCTTAAAAAATTAAGTTTGTTTAAATATGTCAGTTTAGTCTAGTCTATTATTTATTATGAATATAATAATCAGTCCGTGGTCTAATTTATTTATAAAAAATAAAAATCTGATTTTGTCTATTAAAAAAAATAACAAAAATTTAATCAAACAAAATATACGATTAACAGCATTAATAATTTTACAAAGATTCATAAATTCAATGTAAATACAAACAGCATAATATAGAATAAAATCTTTTAAAAAATCTGTTTAACCAATAAGATTAGATGGAATGAGTTCAGGAGAGAGAAAATTATTATGAGTAGTGTAAAAAATATAAAATAAAAATAAAAATTAATATACTAGACCAATCAAAAGGCTTTAAGACCAGACTTTTAAAATTGGAGCATAAGAATTTTTTATTAAGAAAAAAATATTTCTATAGCTTATCTACAGTTACCATTTATAATTATGCTTTTCCAGAAAAAACATAGTTATAATATTAAAGTTTTTTTTTTCTCTTTCCCAGTAAGCAAACAAGTTCTTAAGAGTAATTGAGGAAAGAAAAAAAACAACTTTAATGTTATAACTATATTTTCTCAGGAGAACATAATTATAAATGATAACGGTAGATAATTTTATCTAAAGTGGCCGTGAAAATATTTACCGTTTTTATTTTCATAAATATAAGTCTGCCTCAACCAATTTTAAAAAACTTAGATCCAGCGTCAAGCCCCTGAAGGCCCTGTTTCGTTTACCAGAGCTACTGACGATCAAGAAAAGATACGAATAGCTTAAGGTGTCCGTCCGTCAAGAATTAGAGGAGGGGGAGATGATTTTCCCCTACAATGTGTTTTCAGTTATTTTCGCAAGAAAATAGCGGGGGACAATAGTGAAATTAAAACAAGAAGATCACATAGTGATTTTTGAAGCACATCGTAGCGAATCAGAGAGATGATTGAGTTTGGTTGTATTCTTTGTTGACACATATAGATGAGTTGTAAACTTTGTTCTTCATTTCCCACTTGTTAAGAAGCAAGCAAGCAATCATTTCCCCATCCCCACTAGCTATCTTAAAGCTTCTTTCCTTTTTGTATTGGGAAACCATACGCGGAAGCAACTTTAAAAAATCAACCAACATGCCAAATCACCTCGTTTTCTGTTTTATTTTTTTGTTTTCAATTTTATTCCGTTTTTTAAATACCAATTGGTATCTTGATGGTTCACACCTCAGAAATCAGAATGATGGTACAGCTGTAGTAGAAACGAGAGAGACCTAAATGTTGTTCCCCTCACAATGCGCCATTTTAAGTCATAGTCAATATGCATTTATAACTTATAAGTGACAAAAGCTAATTGGCATTTTAATTTTTCAGCTTTGTCAATAAATCTTTTTTTTTTTTCCCCTTCCTGTATCTTCCAAGCTCAGTTTACTTTACTTTAGTAGCAGGACATTGAGGGTAAAGGAAAGGGAAGTGGGACAGAACAGAAACATCCGAAAGTGGGAAAAAGTTTTAGCACCAAAACATCATAATAACCTTGTAATCTTAGGTAACAGTATTACTAAGCTGGCACTCACCACAGATTTGGGAAAAAGCACAAGAATGGTCTCGGAGTCCCACACGGTCACACACCCACAGTTATAAGAAAGAAACACGTTCTCATAGTCAGCACACAGCTGGTTTGGGATTGGCGCATAGAAATTCAGAGTCGGTGAGTGAAGTCAGAAAGTGACCCCGTAATAGTTTTCTTTGTGCAGCCGCGTTCACTGATTACGTGTCCCTTTCGTTCTTATCTAATTGTTGAGCCTTTTTGGAAATGCTTACTGACTGTGATCTATATATTCCCGTAACCCGCTATTGCTATATATACCTCATTTTCTTCCCTTGTTTTCTGCAACCACATTTAAGGTAACATCAAACCAAACAACATACATAATTACATACATGGCTTTATTTCTTTGCTTCTTCATCTTCCTTCTTGCTTCATCTGCTTCTGCTTGCGATCGCTGCCTGCACCAATCCAAGGCTGCTTATTTCTCCAAAGCTTCTGCTCTTTCATGTAACAATCAATCATTCATTATTAACATTAATTCGTTTCAATCATTCATTATAATGACCTTATTAATTTGTTATATATATATATATATGAATTTGATATACGCAGCGGGGGCATGTGGGTATGGCTCTTTGGCACTGGGCTTAAGTGGTGGACACCTTGCAGCTGGTGTGTCTTCCCTATTCAAAGATGGAGCCGGTTGTGGTGCATGTTTTCAGGTGCATATATATACTAATTATTATTATGTCCAGCTAAATTCTATTTTGTTAATGTTATGAACATTTTTATGTAATTAATTGATAATTTGTCTGCAGATAAGATGCAAGAACCCAACTCTATGCACAAAAGCAGGTACAAGAGTGATATTGACTGATCTTAATGACAATAATCAAACTGACTTTGTCCTCAGCAGCAGAGCCTTCGCCGCCATGGCTCAGAAGGGTATGGGCCAACAAATTTTGAAGCTTGGCATTGTTGACATTGAATATAAGAGGTAGGCTTAGATCACTTTTTTAGCTGCAATTTTTTTTTGTTAGCAATTTTTTTTTTTTTTTTTTTGGGGGGGTGTGCTTTTTTACTATGCCAGTGGTTTTGGTTTGTCCCCACTCCCCACCTACCGGGCAGTGCACCGGCCCACCGTCAAAAAAGAACATTGCAACATTTAATATTATGAATACCTCAGACAATCATGTATGTGGCACATATATTAATATAATAATGTAATGTATAATATCATATGCTTCGTGACAGTGCCACTGTGCAACCAACAGATACAAAGCCAATGCAAATTTTAGTATGGTTTAGCTCGGTGGAAGTAATTATTCATAAGTTTTATTCATTTACACTCTTTTATAATTATTTTCATAAGTTTTTAATTTATTATGCATAAACAGGTGTGTTATGATAATTAAAACCGAATGTGTTTGTACCCAACCAACAATGTATATAGTGCACCCTATTCATAGGTTTATCAATCAAGTGTTACTGAATACTGATTGTATTTGCGTGTATTTAATGGAGCAGGGTACCTTGTGATTACAAAAATCAGAATTTGGCCGTCCGTGTAGAAGAATCAAGCAAAAAACCAGATTACTTAGCAATCAAATTTTTGTATCAAGGGGGTCAAACTGAGATAGTAGGTGTTGATGTAGCTCAGGTGGGTTACATTATGTTTGCTACACAAAACATTAAAAAACAATTTCATTCACCTCTATTTGTTATTGATTGAATAAAATTTTGTTAACCATTGGCTTTGTGGCTAACTACTATTAGGTTGGATCTTCAAACTGGAGTTTCATGAGCAGAAACCATGGGGCTGTGTGGGACACAAGCAGGGTACCCCAAGGTGCATTGCAATTCCGGTTAGTGGTAACAGCAGGGTATGATGGTAAATGGATTTGGGCACAGAAGGTCCTACCTGCTGATTGGAAAAGTGGGGTGGTATATGACTCTGGCGTTCAGATAACAGACATTGCACAAGAGGGTTGTTCCCAGTGCGATGATGGAACCTGGTCATGATTCATGACCACGCCACTGCTCAAGTTCTGAATAACCCACTTATACATATAGACATATAGGCTTCAATTTACTCATACTATGACTTTCAGAGTAACTCATAATACCGAGGAATCATTGAGTATCTTACTAAATTTGAAATGCATTCTCATTTGTAACTACTCAACTGCGTTATTATATATATTCTTTTTTTCTTTTTTCTTTTCGATAATTTTTTTTTTTAACTTATTTCTGAATTACGAATGTTATCTTTACGTGTATAATATTGTTGATGTACGCCCCTGAAAAAGAATAAAATGCTGGCGATTATTTTGTGCGAAAAATCTATTATGTAACATTTATTCATTGTAGTAAATAAAATTCACACTCATCCTTAATTGTTATTTATCAAAAGAAAAAAAATTATTTTTTATTTGAGGAGCGTTATTCTTACAACCTAAAAATTTTACAATCTCGTACAATTCATTTTTTCACTGTTGATTTTGGTCAATTTAACAGTTATAATTTATTGAAAATTAATAATTAATTCATAAATGTGATCCAATAAATTATAATAGTTGGATTGACGAAAATCAACTATAAAAAAATAAGTTGTAAAACTTTTAGGTTGTAAAAATAACGTTGCTCTTTTTGCTTATATTGGTAGTGTAAACATCTGTATAGTAAAAGGAAAAAGTAGGCAGGCTGAAGTATTTCAATATCAACATCAGACTTAAGTCTTAAGGGGCATTTGGTAGAGTAGATATTTTTTTACCAGGAAAAAAAGATTTCTCGAAATATGGTGGGAATTTTTTTTTTCCGGGTAAATTACGAAAATGTGTTTGATAAGCTAAAAAATTTCTGGAAAAGTTGAGTTAATTTTACTAATGCTATGTTTGATTGATTGTAAAATATTGATGAGAATCTGAATCGAAATGACAAAGTTAGCCATTTTTACATATCTGCTGATATATTGTATAAGGTCATTTTTGTCTCAAAAATGTGAAATGTGTTTCTTGAGAAAAATAATAATATTATGGGTGGAATGAGATTTTTGTTTTCCGTGTGTAATTAAAAAACGAGAATGATGAAGAAAAAAGTATACTGAGATTTTTTTACTTTTACTCATACCAAACATAGTAAAAAAATCCATCACCCCACTTTCCTAACATTTCAACCAAAAAATTATACCAAATACCTCCTAAAAGTTTTTTATCCGTATTAATCGAAATACATTCACGTTATCATTACTCAATAAATCTTAATACCTTCATTATAACCAGCCAAAAACTTGTCTCTTTGTTTTAAACATCAAAACTTTTTTTTGGAGGTTACAAGAAATTGAACACAACACCTTACACTACACACACTCCTAACACACACACCCCACACCACTAAACATCAAAACTTTAAAACTCTCTTTGTAAGTTCTAGCCAACCAAAAAATTTCCCTTTTTATGCATTGTGTTAATGGAGTATGAATTACACTTCAACCTTTTAACTTACATTTAATTTTATTTGATTTTAAGTGGTTTCGTGGGACGATATATATAGTATTTTTACAATAAACTTCAATTTGTTATATCCAAACATGCAGCTCAGAAATTCATCTAAAGGATATAGGGCCGATACGCTTGACGTCCTTCCAATATGGGCCTCCAAGTTGCGTTATTTAATTAGGTCTCTTTGCTGACACATGAGCCCTTCGAATATAAATAGGCTTTTGAGCTTGAACTCTTACAAGTCCATCAACACAACGGTATCTCCATTTAACACCAACACCAACCATGAAGCCCATCATACTTTGGTCCTTAAGGAAGGTGACTTATACTCTGATTCACCAACATTTGAATGTGACCAACTATGTAGCACCGATACCGACACGAGACACGTGACACGATACGACACGACATTTCGATACGTTAATTCTAAAAAATGTTAGATTTTGACATGTTAGGACACGTTTTTGATATTAAATAATATTTTTAATTTATGTAGTGTATACTATATTTAATATTCAATAATTTAACAAAAAAATGAATCTAAACTTATAATATTCATAATTTTTACAAAAAAACATAAGATATCCCAAATATTTATATTAAACTTAATAAAATAGTAATCGTAATCTAACGAATCTAATAGTTGGAACTAAAAACTCAATGCAACACAACCTTTGAACTTTTTTTAAAATTTTTATAACGTGTGTTGGAGTGTCGGAGAATGTCAAAGTGTCTGATAGTGTCGAAAAGTGTCGGACACGACACGTCAGGATTTTTGAAGTGTCGGTGCTTCATAGGTGACCAAAACAGCAACAACATAACAATTATCAGTCTGAAATGCGTGCGTGTATTTGTTGCATATGTAACATCTGATTTTATCGGATGTTTCCTAAAAAAGACACATACGATTAAGAGAGCTGCAACCAATAAATCGACTCAATTTGGATAGATTAATTTGTGTGAACTTGCAAAATGATTGACGCAACCCCGAACTCCTTTAACTAACTGAATCAAAATTGAGTTTTTGTGTTCGAAACTGTGCGTTCTATATATTATATTCTGCACAATGCAGCTCAGCTTCCGTGCCACTCCATCGGTTAAACGGCACGACAGAATTGCGATGAAACGCACGCATAAACCAACTGTCGAGTCGTTTACGGTGCACAAAGATGGCGCTAGTCATTGCCCCGTAATTATCTCATCAATCATAAAGATTTAAAGAATAAGATTTAAGAGATTAGTATTTGTTCTTTTGAAGAATATAAAATTGTGTTATTTTAATTAAAATTATTATACTTTATAATGAGATAAACAGAAATTGTGGTAAAAAAAAATGAAAGTTTTTTAGGGGGTAAGTAATAAAGAAATTTTAAGTAGGGTGATAAATGATTAAAATTTTTGAAGAAGTGGTTAAGAGATTTTGAGGAAACTTATAGGGTTTTTTTTTGAAATTTTCCCTAATAATTTTAGGATTCATTTTTCTGCCATTAATGTAAATAAGTTATATGCGTTGGGCCCAATACGATGTCGTTTTGTCGTTTTGGGACGGAAATCAAGGTATTTTTGTAATTTTAATTTATTTCAAGGTTATAATAATCTTTATAATTATAATTTTTTAATATTTCAACACCAAAACGACGTCGTTTTGAGAGTAAATGTAGATAACTTATATGCAGTAACTGCATAAATATTTTTCTGATAATTTTAATTAAAATAATTATCTTTTTAAAAAGACAAATATTTTTTTCAAATTTTAAATCATAAATCTGTAAAAGGAAAAGCGCGTTTCCAATAGCTGAATCATGGAGAGGGTTGACCTATTCTTGTGGAGAGCCCAGCATTATCAGTTTACTAATAACACTGTACTTGAATTCTATAAAATAATTATGCAAAACAAAACAATATCTGAGAGGAATTTTTGTTCTGGTTGTCCAAAACTGGCGTCGTTCTCAATCTGAAAATCATAATGGTATTATTCTCTTCACATATAAGACAATTATTATTACTGGCGCATTAATTGACTTTGCTTGTTAATTTATTTTTATTTTTAATCAAGATAAAAGAAAAAAATGAATGCCTGAATTAAATTACAAGTATACACTAGAAATTTGAGTCACACTCAAAAGACAATTTGAAGAAAAAAGGTAATATTTATAATTTTCTTATTTTTTTTTGTATTTATCCTAATACTTTTCAATAAGTAATAGTAATAAGTGTTTACAATTATTCTATTTATATTTATCTTTAAAATTTCAAGTGAGTAATTAACAATAACACGGTAGATTTTAAAAATAATAAAGAAATTAGATGACAAAGTGGGAAATCCCCTTACAATAATATAAAATAGATAAAAGATACGTCGATATAGATTATTAAAGTTATTTTAGATTGTAAACAAGATTAATATTGCATAGAGATTTGCTCATTCCATAAGTTTCTTTTTTATTTTGTATAAGTTTTTTTTTATTACTCGCTCTTTCTTTCTTTTTTTGTTAGCTATGGGATAATAAGAATCAAATAGATCATATCATAAGATGAGTGAATCGTTTTTTGTGTACATGTATGAAAAGTAAAGTAAAAACTACAATGTTTACCAAGAAGAGAGAGAGAGAGAGAGAGAGAGTAAAAACTAGAACCGGAAAAACAAGCGGATTCAGGATTACACCAGATAGCCAAAACTAATGGAAGTTCAATTATTAACTGTTAATTAATGAAAGAAAAAGAGAGTGAAGTGAACTATAACAGATATATAAATTGTTATCATTAATTTTATCGTGAGACTTATTACATCAGAATACTTAATACTATATATAAACTATTAATCTTTGCACCACTAGGGTTAGCCTAGTAGTGTGGGGTGTGTGTGTTAAGAGTGTGTGTAGTGTAGGGTGTTGTGTTCAATTCCTTGTAACCTTCAAAAAAAAAAAAACTATTAATCTTTTACTAAATTTTATGAAGTACTCATTTTATTCTTTTTTTTTTTTTTTGGAAATATTCCAATCGGTTCATTGCTTCGCAACTAATCCGATTCGGGGCGTGTCCAGGATTAAGGCTTTAAACCCCTCCCAAAGGTGGTACTGGGGAGATTCAAACACATACTCTCATCCTCACCTACTTAACTTTCATGCGCCAACTAAGCTACCACCATTTGGTTACTCATTTTATTCTTTGAAACTGTGTCAACACAATTTATGGATATCTAACAACGATGATTTAGTTGAACAAAATATGGAAAAGTTCAAAAATTCCCTTAATAGTTTTACTTTGAATAACTTACACTTACATCCATAGATTTTTGCTAATCACTTAAATTCCTATGATTTTTTTCATCTAAACTCATCCTTAACATTGTTAAAAATTAAATTAATCTGCCTATTTTACCTTTAGAAAAATAAAATAGATAGAGGAGAAAAAATAAAATAAAAAATAGGATCAAATATGTTGAAAACTTACAACATTTATAGAGAATACTAAAAAAAATAACAATAGAAGGAAAATATATATATCTAAATCAAAAAGAATAAAATAGACTACGAAGACAAAAAAAATGTCAAATATGTTGAAAACTTACACTAACAACAAAAAAGACTAAAAGTAAAAAAATAAAATAATAATAGTCTAAATAAAAAAGAAAAGAAAATAGATTGAAGAAAAAAAAATAGAAGAAAAGAGTAAGACTATATGTCTAAATAAAAAGAAGAAAATAGATTGGGGAAAATAATAAAAAAAAAAGACTAAATATGTTGGAAATTTACAACATTGATATTTTTT